GGCACTTATATATGGACCGACGTGGCTACGTGGGCAGAAGAAGAAGAAGCGGGGTCAATAAAAAGCAAAGAAGTGTCTGCGAGGAAAGCACGAGTGGGAAAGGGTAGAACGAAGGAAGAAAGCAGAACGCGGAGAACTCTCGAGCATGTAAATTGCACGGTGCGTCCACTGTATCCGATTTTAACGCGACTCGATAACTTTCTGATTTTTCTGTCTTTGGATCCTTGCGATTCTATTATTGATTTACTTGAGAGCAGTCTTGCGAGAATATGGCATAGTTATTAGGTTGGCAATGTGCAATGTGAAAAATATATCGTCTACAAACGGATATTCTTTATCGGAGAATATGGAAAATACTTACGCGTATCTGTACTTTTTCGTTGAATTTCGTATCTTTATAGGTCATTATATAAACATAGGTCAGCGTATTTTTTTAATGCGAAATACTAAAATACAGTTTAATCTATTCTTAATATAAAATTGAATTATATATTACGATTGGGGTTACTTTATTTTCAGAAAAGATATTACTTAAATTTGTATTGCGATAACGGGTATAGTTTATTGTTAAAGTAATTTACTACGCTAGAAATAAATGTATGAGTCACACATTATCGAACGTTATTTTTAGAACATTGAAAAAACAGCACGTCCTCCTATTTTTTCTATTGGTAGATATGTTTCATGCATCCAGCTTACTGACTAGATAAGTTAACCACAAGGTTGTTTCTCTTATTTGATATTCGCATGTAAACTAGATATATTCGCATGTAACTAAGGAATTACGTGACCGGAAAAGGAAGTATCGATAACAGAAGTAGAAATTTACGCATTGCACGGAAAAATTACTTCGACAGAGCTGAAAAATTCATATCAAAGAGTCGATAAATTAACTCCGATACATCCTGCGTTCGAGAGATACAGAAAGCAGAATTACGAATTTATTTGTTCGCACTGATCGAGCTTCACGATTTTGTTTTCATTTTAAATTACTTCCTTTAAATTCCAATACTGTTAAATTGCGTCTCTCTTTCTCTCTTTCGATATAAATTGTATTAAAATTAAAATACACGTACAAAAGGGATGAAACTATCGCAAAATGAGGGAGAAGAAAGACAATCAGGTAGGCAACATAGACAACGAGTAAACAGCCGAAAAGGAAGTCCGCAGCATCTGCGCGAATTTCGTAACTGCTTCTCTGGAGACTGTTTATCGTTGTTGGATAATGAGCTGTCGGCAAAGATAAATTCACGGAACACACAAACAGTCGGTTTGATAGCTCGGTGCACGGCGCACCTTAGACACGCGTGCATTTATTTATACGCGTGAAGCAGACCTGTGCACGGGATGCAGAAATCATGCGCTTTTAGCCAAACTCGATAAAATTCCATACTCTTTCCCGCTGCCTCGAATACCTGAACTTGAGCGGCTGGTTCGGTTGTTCCTGCAGGGCTCATATCTTTGACAGTCTCGAACGTGTCGCGCTCGCAAAGTATGGGGCACTCACTGCAATTCGAAACTCCAGGTTCGTTTCATATCAAAAGAACGTTCGTAGTAGAGGTTCTGCGTTTTGACGGTTCTCTTTTCAGGTTTCAGAGAAATATTAATAACCACGAGTAGAATGAGGGAGAAAGCGAAAATTTACATATCTCTTGATTTACAACGAGAAAACGTATCCTAACTGAGTACAGTTTCTTACTTTTGAGTGGCGTTATTCAAAGTTTGTCTGCAAACTGCAATCATTCATTGCCACACCGGAGATGTAACGAATATCCAGCTATTTCCGTGAATAGCGATCGATATAGGAAAGCAATTCCACGAAACTACCAGTTGAAACAAAGTTTGGAATTTGTCAGTTCGAAAAGATTGAGCCGGAAGGGATCGGAAGATGAAGAAGAAAATGATCGAGGAATATCAATCGCTCGGTTATTCGAAAATTTATTAATTGGGATAGTCGAGATCCTATTGTATCACGTTTAATATGATATCAGCAATTGTCCTAACGCTAGACGGTATGAACGAAGATGTACACAGGAGCGTACATGGGTATGGCTTAACTAGACTCGTTGTCATCGTGAGATATAACCGCGTAGATCTCGACTGCAGACGAGCTAATGGTATTCAGGAAAGTTTTACCTGCAATTTAAAGCGTCCCGTCCTCGACGAATCAGTCAAAGGGGAACGGGAAACCTCTAGATCCGGCAGATTTACGCTTTTACAGAGGCTCGTATCTTCGTGCGACCTTTGAGCGCTCGTTCCGACTGCGTAGAACGATGTTTGAGTACGTCGTGAAGAACGAGCGAAATCTCGTGTAGAGACTCGTGTAATCTGGAAAAACACGTGTCTCGTGGGAACAGGCTATCGAGGAACGTGCGTGTCTTGCCGCATTGACATTTTGATAAGTGCTGGGATTGGTTGGAAATAGAACGAGTTTCTATAGTCCAATAGGATCTCGTTCGTTCGAATCAATTAGTTTTAAAGCGAGCCGATAATCTAATTTTTCGCATAACTAAATAAGAGAATCATTACCATTGCTAGAGGAGTAGCACAGCAGGGAGATGGAAACTTTTTCAGAAAATTAATTTAGAATAATAAGTTTGGAATATAGAATTGTCATTGATTATTTTTATAGCGATCCGTGTGAAATTATTCAGTGAGTCGAAATTAAATACCTACTACTTACCCGGTGAATAAATCAGACTTTACATGAATTCACAGTCTGAAATAGGAAGCGATCGCAGTGATTAATGATGCTTTGCAAAATAGCCTTATAGAACTTATCAGTCCAACACTGTATTGCCTCGAGATTACACATCAGACGATTCTAATGTATGCAATGGCTAAGATTCTATCTCGCAACCGGCAATTCCCTACAAAAACCACAGCCTCCACTTGCTGATTCTATTTCCTTGTACATCCTATTTTTCCCTTACTATAATCACATTACAATTCCACCCGAAGCTTATTGAATACCTCGATAAATCAATCACGAATAATCAATTGACCTTATCCTCTTGCTCGGTGGATCGTCGATGGCCTTCGTTAGCGTAACGAACAAAAGAGAATCGCACTTGAACTGTTGATGCAATAAAGAAAACATACATAGGGTTATCAATTTAAAGGATGATCGATATCACTTACAATTAAGGCGGCGTTACCATCAGTATCCAGCTGATGCTTCAGCTTTGTAACGAGTGCGGTTATTTATTTATTTACAACCGCCATGCCAGGCTGAATACCGTGTGGGATTAAAGACACGAGATCATTATTTATGCTTTAGCCACGGTTACGCGGTCCGAAGCTAAACTGGACGTCGCGTCATGGCTGCTTGAATTAATCATATGTCACTTGTCTACCGGTATTCCTAGCTGCGAGTCCTTCCTTTTTATTTCTCTCTTTTTTTCTTTCCTCTTTTTGCGAGAAGATGATTAAGACTTCTCTGGAAGTGTATCTGTTCGTTGAACGATAGGTAGAATTGCGAAAGCCTGTTGCAAGCGACACGCCAATGAAATTATTACTCGGCTGATTTCTAAATCGTGTTTTATAGAAATATGTAACTTGAATATACTTCTTTATTTTTGCGTTATAAGCGAAGTGAATAGGTAGTTATTGGCTATTTATTGGTGTAGGAATAAAAGGAAATTTTACTGTTAAATGTGAGAAGTTCAGAATCATTAGCGAATCGTGTTTCGAACATTGATAGATGAGTTGATACATCAAACTTGCCACATACGTACTGTAAGCCTTTCAGACTACCACAGGTGTTGGTAATCATATTTTTAATATTCCTGTATTTTATACTTTACGCGACAGATATTAGATACGTACAAAATCGTGAAAAACGATTATAACGAAATATGAGATATTTCAATTAAAGGAGGAAATTAACTAGAGGGAATTAAAAAGTTGAGAGAAACAGAATGTGGAAAGAAATATCTGTTTAACGTTGTTACAGTGATCTCATCGACTATCTCGCCTCTGACTAGACCGATTACAAGTTACAAGTATTATTTCATCGTCTGACACTGGTGACCAAATTGAATTTAAATCTGCAGTACCTGCTCACGATTTATGGTTGCGTCGCAAAAATTCCTCGTTGAATGGTCTTTCTTCTTTTTCGTCACGAGACAGCAGCCGTGAAAGTGCCAACCAAGGCTTAAATCGTTTGAATACAATACAACATTCGTCGTGGTGGCATTGCTAATTGCGAAATGCGATCGATCGCGCATCAGCAAACACTAGTCATGCATGACTAGGATCCAGACTGAATAGATGCTGATCACGATATGTATAGATCTGTATGTATATTGTTACCTGTGAAATGAATGGAAGACATATTTCTCTTGGCGTGATCTCACAGGTTGAGAATGAAATGTGAATTATCAATGTGGAACAGAGTTAATGAAAGAGTTATTATTCTATTTTATACTTTGACATACAGTTTTCATCTAAACATTGAAGAGAACTCGTTTAAGCGAAGGGACTATAAATTACTTTTTCGCGACTCTTTGTTAAATTTAGCAAATGGAAGATAAATAAAAAAAAAAAGAAAGAAAGAGATTGCAAGAAGTAGAAAGAAGTTATTGAACATGAAATTATACAAAATGCGAATACTAAATTAACGCGTTTTACTGCGAGCATCTTGAAGTACTTTTACGATCTGCATGTGATATCGATTCATACGAAACACGAATTAGAGATCACGAAATTTTGAAACGAAAGTTTTATAACAATCCACAAGTACAGTGTGTAAAGATTCCATAAGATGGTATTCTGTAGATGTTAAGAATTCAATCGACAACGAACGTGTTAACAGCTTAACAATACTATCAATACTATCGTAAATAAAACTTACGTTCAAGATCGATGTTCGTTTTAATTTCAAATTTTTCTAATTCATAAAATTTAATATTAAACATACATCGTAGAATATGTACATCGAAACATTCAAGTATTCTATGAATATCTTCTATTGTATGAGTCTTCTTAACTATTTTCAGGGTGTCGATGTAATCCTATTGGTTCGATAACCACTGCGTGCGACATCGTAACAGGACAATGCCAATGCAAGCCCCATGTGACTGGCAGACAATGCGATCAATGTATGGTGAGTAGATCGCAATAAACATAAGTAGAAATTTATGTGTCTCGTTCCACCTCTTAAAATTGCTTTCACTCCCATTTTCTCGCAATAGATAAAAATTGATACGATTGAGAAAAATAGACAAAGTGATTTTGTATTCCACGAATATGTCAAGTATCGTTTGAATCGCAACTCGTCTCTCAACTTAAGATCATGAAATTCCATTTGCGTATTATACGAAAAACATGTGTACGAAACTCTAGAGACATCGCTTTCTGGAATTTAATACGTCAGAATTACTATAGAATTGCTGCAACTATTATTTCACTAACCTATTAACACATTCGAAGTCGTTACTAGAATCTGATTAAACGCTATGAAGTTTATTATTTGCAATCAGTCTTTTCTATTTTCTCATCTTGTTAAGATTGGTTTCTGGGGTTTGCCAACGGGAGCAGGATGCGCTCCTTGTGGTTGCGATCCTATAGGAGCGTATAATTCTTCCTGTCACGATAGTATTGGACAATGCTACTGTAAACCAGGAGTGGGTGGCACACGTTGCGATGTTTGTCTACCTGGATATTATGGATACTCATCAAACGGATGTCAAGGTACATTTTATAATACGATGCTAAATATTTTAATATATATAAATAATTTTATACGTTTCAATGTACAAACAAAATCCGGAAACAAAGAAATGAAAATGAAGGAAAAGTATGAATTTTGTATAGTCATATGGAAATGCTACTAAATAATACGAAATTTGATATAATTGGATTTAATTAATCAGTATGTAAATGCTATCACATCCTTCACACGTTTTCACATAATTCCCATCAATTTTTTATTTTTAGTTTGCGATTCGTGTGTGCGACCAGGTCACGTTTGTGATCCTGACACGGGTCGCTGTGTGTGTCCAACCTTGACTTTCGGTGAACATTGCGACAGATGCAGATCAGGTTCCTGGGACTTGGTCCCAGGAGTTGGTTGCAGGCCCTGTGCGTGCACCCTTGGTTCCATGAAACCTCAGTGCGACCATCAAGGGCAATGTCCTTGTAGAATCGGCTACGATGGTCTTAGGTGTGAGAAATGCGCGAAAGGTTACTATGGTTATCCTAGGTGTCGACCTTGTAGCTGCAACGTAGCGGGTACCTTGCAGTGTGATGATGAAACTTGCGATTGCAATGATAAAGGGCAGTGTCCTTGCAAGGTATCAAGTTTAACGCATCTTTTGAGTGGAATTTTTTAAATATCTAAATTCTTATTATGACTTACAAGACATTGTAGATGATCCGTCAAAAAATTTAGAAAATTAATCTTTGAGTTTTTGATACAATCGAAGCATATAGTTTTTTGTGGAAATATATTCGGTCAGTTTCTTACGTTACACGGAAATTGTACGTTTGTTATTTAGGAATACGTGGTCGGAAGGCAGTGTGGTCAATGCAAAGAAGGTACGTTCGGTTTAGCACTGGACAATCCGAAAGGTTGCACCGAATGTTTTTGTTTCGGAAGAACGACCTCCTGTCAACAAGCTGGTCTTAGTTGGGGGCAGAGGAGATTGACACGACCACGAACTCTTCACGTCAATGACACTATCAATGATATAATAGTAAGCATCGTAGTATTACGCAAAGTGATTTCTACGGAAAATTCTTGTTCTTGTTCAGCTAAAATTTGTATATTATGCACGTGCAATGTAAATCTAAATATCCGACATACGTATGCGTATCATTTCGAGAAGAAATTTATCAAATTCAAATTAATTTCTTTTCCATCGATCTCTCTTTCAGATATAATTACATTAGAAATAGAAAAGTTATTATTGCTGTTATTAAAATATTACCAATACTGTAATATGAATAGAATGAAAAAATAATTATTAAGATATTTCTCCATTTATACAGGTTTCTAAATTTAGATCACGAGTGTTTTTATCTCCTATTAACGGTGGTTTAAACATGACCAATGGACTTTCGACGATCCCTGATACTGGAGGTGATGTGACGATACCATCGCATTTGTATTATAATTATCCTCTCTATTGGATGCTACCCGAATCTTTTCTTGGTGATAAGGTAACTTCAAATGTCTCGAAAAACACTTGAACATTTCATTGAATTTTACATTACGCGACAAACAAGTGGTCACACAAAGATGTCTTAACGTAATTCATAATTTTAGGTTGTATCCTACGGAGGATTTTTAAGATTCACAACTTCGACAGAAGGTGGAATACCTTTAAGATCAACTTTTCAATATCCGATCGTGCAACTGCAAGGAAACCGTAAAATTGTCTTAGAATACTATTTACCCGTACCTTCGGATAGCAATCATTACGAAGTCAGGTAATATCGAATTCCAATTAGTAATTAATATAATCTTAATTTGATATTCTAACAAGGAATTAATGCCTGCTTTTATTTCGTTTCGAAATACGAAATGATACGAATTGCCGGTATTTTTAGATTTCACGAGTCCCTATGGCAATTACAAAATAGGCCAGACTATAAAGTCACGAGAGAGGTTCTTATGGTTGCTTTGCAAAATTTGCAATACATTCTGGTAAAAGCCTCCGATAATGCGGAATTTACAAGAACGACGTATGTAAACTTTATCATGGAAGTTACTTCTTGTTTCTCCTATTTTCTTCTTTTTTCTTCCCTTATGTAAATTATTTAAGATTTATTTAAAATCGAGAAAATTCTTAGAATATCGAAAAATTGTCTTTATTCGACGATAATTAATACAAGATCTCTCTTCTTAAACCTGCGTTAACGTAATTCCCTTTAACTTGGAAAATTAAGTATTTGTGAAATTCTTTCACTGTATTTTTGCTTTATAAAATGTCAAGTTATTGTATTATTATATTAAATTTTAGCTTGCACGAGGCTTCTATAGACGCTGCAGTTTTAACGCCCATGCATATACCGCAACTTGCAACCGGTGTCGAGATTTGCAAATGCCCCCCGAAATATAACAGCACGTCCTGTCAAGATCCAAGTATCGGACACTATCGATGGTACAACAACACAACCGTCACATCGACCATTGTTATCAACCTTATTGGAGAAGCAATACCTTGCCAGTGTAACGGAAGATCTGATATTTGCGATATAGAAACAGGGCATTGCTTGGTAAGATAGTCGACTTGAATTCTACCAACTGCACTTTAAGAAGGAATCATTCAGCTGTGTCTCTTTTGTGCAAAAATTGTCATGTTTTATACCAGGATGAATGCTAGACTTCTTTCTATAACTTATAGACAAAGTTTATATTTTATGAACTAAAATAATTAAATGGAATTTTCAATAGACATATTATTTAGAATAGTAAAAAATATTAAAGAATACAATAAAGTAATTGTTTCAGATTTAGACAAATGTAACTAACAAAATATAAATAAAATCTCAATATATACATATTATATGCTAAGTCTCTGAAATAAAACCGAACATTTTTGCTACAGAATTGCCGAGAGAATACCGCAGGACCAAGATGCGATATTTGCTCAGACAGTTTCTACGGCCATCCAGACTTTGGCTGTAAACCGTGTCCTTGCCCACAAGCAGATAAAAGATTCTCAAATACTTGCATGGTTCTTGCCAATACGGAAGCAATTTGTGTTTGCAAACCTGGTACGTACCTTCAACGCATCGCAGAAGAATTCCTTTATACAAATTTTTATTGCAAATATATAATAACATTTATCAGAAACTAACTCAAACGTTGAACCAAAGAAGCGTTATTTTTGTTGATGTGAATCATGCGAGAGAGAAGAGCCCTTTCTAAATTGAAATAAATTCAATTGTATCTCTATTTTTGACGTTAGAAACATTTGCTTAATTTTGCATATCCAGAGAGGATATACTTTCGGAGGAAAATGTATTTTATATTCTTTATATGCGCAGGTTACACCGGTAGAAAATGCGAACGGTGTTCTTCCGGATATTATGGATTCCCTCACCTTCCTGGTGGCAAATGTATACCGTGCAATTGCAACCCCGCTGGAAGTTTGAACGATGAATGTGATACGGAAACAGGACAATGTAGGTGCAGAGCTGGTTCTACGGGTCGTGATTGCTCTGAATGTACTGCGTATCGTCACGTCTATATAAATAACGTTTGCACGTGTAAGTGAAAAATGCGAAAACCTTGTTCGTTTAAATTTATCGAAATTTTTCTTTCTTTTTTTTTTTTTTTCTTTTCTATGATGTTCGAGTAGAAATTTTTTTAATTTTAAAATTAATTAAATTTTTGTTAAATCGTTGATATTATTTTGCATTAGCGTGCAACGATAATTGTACCGGTATACTGCTCGACACTGTGGCTGCACTTTCGCAAGAATTAGCAGAAAGCACCACTCATATAGCCAATGGTTATATTCCTCCTCCATGGGAAGATTTGTCTTACATTGACTCCAACATAACAACGTTTCTAGATAAAATAAACCTTCGAAATAGACTGAGGCAAAGAATGAGAGATGTACCCTGGCATGAGTATAGAAATCTTATGAAATACCTTGAAATGTTGCTCAGAACTGTATGTATTTAATTCTAATTTCATACTTATTCAAATTACACTGATTAAATATTTATTCTTAGAGCCTTGAATATTATTTATTCGTAAAGGAAATAACTCGTAATCGATGGTAAATTTTTTTGTATGAATATTAATAATATTTTAATATTTTAGGCGAACGAACGCGCTCTGCGCGCAGATACTGTTAAATCAAAGACCAGTGATTTAGAAAATAACATATTTAGCGCAAAGATCGAAGCGGAAAATCTGCGAAAATATATAGAAGGTACTTGCCTTAAATAAAATATTTTTATACACAAATTTTTCATTTTATATAAATCTATATATACCTATAATAAGATTTTTCATTTTTCTAGATACAATTACGTTGTTGAATCAATATACAAATGAGAACAAAAGAATAGAAATAAAAAAAGCATTGAACACAGCAAAAATGATTTTGAACGGTATAAAAGAACTAAATCTAGCAAAGAAGACAATGGAAATAGAACGTTTTCTCGAGTTAGTACTTTTAACAACTTTTTCACATAGATACCGCATTGATTACTCCAGCTTAATTCCATTCACAACAAATATTCTATTATTATAATAAAATCCAACTTTATTACATCAAAATCATTGGTTCAATATTTATATAATAATTTTTGAAAATTTTTAAAAATTACAGGGACGTCGCAGAATACACCGATTGGTTAAATTCCTTGTACGATGCAACAGGGCCATTAGCAACCGCTCAAAACAATGCTGAAGAATATTCTATCAAACTAACTGACATGCGGAACATCATAGAAAACGCGATGGAAACGCTGTTCACATACGATGGTTTATACAACAATATTAATCAAACATATCAGGAAGCCAAAAATTACTGTAGCGAGATCGACATGTTACGGAGCACAATTAATGCGTCTCTTACCGAGGGGGAAAAGCTGATTGATGAAACGCGTAGTTTTATCGTCAATTTTCGAAATAATGTTCAAGTATGTACAAGTACAATAAATTAGCTTACAGACGATTTGGTAGAAATGTAAATTTAATTAATTATTTTAATATTGGTTATAATTACAAGTAACGATATCATCGGTATCTCGAGAAACATCTCAAAAGAAGACATATTAAATTACAGGACCTTCCGGAACTGCGAAACAAATTAACATACTGGTTTGATAAATTGAGTATGAAAGAAGAACTACTGTATAGATTAAATTACGAATATAACGACACGTACGTGATACCCGCGATTGCACATGTGAAGAATTTATCGAACTACGTTGATCAGTATGTCAGGTAAGAGAAAATTATTTAGTTTGTTCTTATACTTTTAGATCATATTATTTTATCGTCGCGTTAATTAATATTTAGATAGTCAAGCAAATATCGTTATATATCAAGTCAAAGAAAAACAGAATGAAAATATAGTATATTAATTTTAATTAGTATTTGTGAATGTTAATTGCTATTACTAAAACGTATCTGTATTTGTAAAAGTATTTATGAAGATATTTAAACAATTTAAAGCTATAGCAGGTAAACACAATTTATATTGAGAGGGAAAGATAAAATAATAATTCGTTGTTTTATATTTTTAAAACATCTCGACGTACTTGATTATTAAGATACTTGAATATTTAAAACAATACTGAACAATTTTTTCGCACTGGTCCTGTATATATATTTGACAAATACGTAACACAGTGTAAATGTGTAGAACGCGGTAGAAATACGTGTTGTAAAAATAATATATATCTCTGCACGAGAACTTGGAAATACTCGGGACTTAAATTAAAAGCAAAACAAAACGAAATCGTATGAAATATGAAGACAGTTCCAGTTGCGAATTAATAATCGTTATTTAGTAGTACGCTTTTACTTTATGTAATTGACGATCGATAACTTGATAAAGTGCAACTTGGCGTTTCTGCCGAGCAGTCTGTTTTCCGAGACAAAAAACATCGCAGCTAGCCCGCTGAAGGCCAGTCAAGCATACAAGAATATCGTCGATAACATAAGAACTGCAAATATAACAGCAACGGCAGCTAAAGATATTTCTGAAGACACGTACAATAAGGTAAGGGGACGCTTTGTAGTCATAGTGATTTAAAAAATAGTCTACTTCACAACTATAACGTATTATCAGATATTTCCCGATGGCCCAAAATCAAAATCGCTGTTGGATAGCGCTAAAGAAATATTGCTGGCATCGTCCAAGCAGCAAAATAGTGCAAACAGACATGGAAAGTTAGTACAAAACGCGAGCGATGGATTGGAATTGCAAAAGGAAGCTGTGAACATTTTGAAAAATACTCTCAATAGTACTGGAATTAGGGATAATCAAGTCAATATAAAATTGCAAACATTGCAAGATGACAGTAAGAAATGTAAGTTCATTTTCTAGCAGTGATCCATTTCTTTTCCTTTTTTAATATTTATACATAGCTATGACTTCAATAACCGCAATAAAGATGTGAGGTTTTTTACTGATCGTTGTGATCATAAAGTATTTGTATTTTGATATACTATATCTATACTTTTTAGAACAAGTTATTTACTTTTGAGCTGTGATTGAAAGTTCTTAATTAAAAACCCTGATAGTAATTAATTTTATCTTGAATTAAATCTTGATTTTTTGGAATTGGCAATAAGATATGTGTTTATTAAAAGTTTCTATTGAAACATCCGTATGTTGCTTTTAGTGCGTGAAAATGTTGAAAATATATTAAACGACAACGAGAAGGTGTTAGAAAGTATTAAAACCTCGCAAAAACTTATTGGAGATTACAAAGAAGGGATTGCTAATATATTAAAACCAAAATTGTACGATTTAAAAAGAGAAGGCGATTCCGAAATCAGTTTAGCCAGCGAAAAATGTAAGATTTATTATATTTTTCTTCATGCTACGTATAGTATACGTTTCTATATTTAGCTTATCATACAATCATCTAAAAAAATTGTTTCAGTGACAGAAGCACTGAGTAACATGAAAAAAGCAGATGCAAAATTAATAAGTTTATCAAATGCCGCGGTAAAAAGGAAAAATGAATTTGATAAATGGAACGATACGTTGACTACAAAATTACAGAATCTCAAAGACAAAATCGCAGAAGCTAGAAACACCGCTGACGGAGTAATCATGATACTATAATTTTTGGAATATATTATCTTTTTATACTTTTGCCAAATAAATTTTTCAATGAAATGTTTTTCTTTAGATTCGCGTTTCTTTAAAATCAGCAGAAGGAAAAGAATGCAGCCGATCCTACAGACCATCCACATTACAGCCATCATCAATGAATTCGATTATCATGACCTTTGCACTTCCAAAAGGGAAAAAGGAAGGCCCCCTATTTTATTTGCCAAGTAGCATAAATGTAAGCATATTGCTCGAGTTAAATACGAAATTAAATACATTATGAAATACGAAACGTGAAATACCTTTGCTATGTTTCTCTTATTCATACAGGATGATTTCCTTGCCCTGGAGATCATTGACAGAAGAGTGAGATTTATGTGGAATGTTGGAGGAGGAACAGGTATTCTTACACACCCTGAAGTGATACAAAGTGGCGATCTTCTAGATGATAGATTCTGGTATCGTATTGAAGCTGAAAGGTATGTTATTTGAAGTATTATATGTATCATCCGACGTTAGTTTTTAATAAGTTTTTCTTATAAGAAATTACATTATATCGGAAAAATCATGTAATTAATTTTATGTAATTTCTTTATAACAGCATTTGAATAAAATTCAATTCCACAAGATAATAGAAGTGCGAATAATTAAAAAATAAAATACGATATCTGTTATTAAATTATTTTCGAAATTATATTATATCCCTGCCTCAAAATAAAACACTTCAATAGAACTTCAAAACCGAATGAGGAATTTATATTGAACTATTAACACTTTGATCCTTTTTTCATCTACCTTACTTAAATAATATAATAAATAACGTCTTTATCTACCGATATCTATAATACTTTTGTCTATGTATTAACTGTTTACTAAAATTTATCATCCATTATCTATATTACGTGCAAGAAATTGAATGAATTTTTATGAGAAATTGAAATGATTTTCAGGGTTCGTCACTTGGGCAAATTATATGTACGAAAACAAGCGTCGACAACCAAAGAACATCCACCCATAAAGAATTCGACGGACTCTGAATACGGCCGCTTTGATATTACCAGTTCAGATCGTGTTTGGATAGGAAAAATTCCCATAACAGAACGTAGAAGAACCGAGCTCATTGCGTCTAATGGTCTTCCAGCATGTGTACACCAAGTTATTCTAGATGGAAAGCCTATAGGTCTTTGGAATTTCATTACAACTGCGCCAGATATGGCCTGTGAAGCATGTGTGGAAGGGTAATTATTAAAAAGTTCGAAATTTCATTTAGTTTTTAGATATACGAAAATGACTATTTACCTTAATGTTATAGAGTGGAAGATGTCAAGGATGATATAGCATACAGTTTCAATGGAGAAGGATATGCGGTCAGAAACAGGGTTTCTTCAGGACCATATAATAAATATTCGTTTGGAGTATCGATTAGTTTCCGAACTTACGACGAGAATGCGTTGCTATTTTTGGCAATTAATCCAGACAACGTACGTGATATTCACATATCATTTATTTTGTATAAATGTAAATTCTATCGTGTCTCTTTCATTATATCGTTATTATTACCAAATTCAATTATTATACTTTTGATAATTGTCCTGTTTCTCTTAAAAATCAATTTCACTTTTATCCACAACAGAACCAACACATCATGATATTCCTGCGAGAAGGAAAAGTGATCCTGCACATTGGTTACGGTGGTAATGTTAGCATGGAGATGTCCTCAAACTTTAAGTATAACAACGGAAACTGGACAAAAGTGGATGCATTTAGATATTATCAATTACGTAAAACGGTTGAAAAATGTAGCTTGAGTGTAGGAGGAGAAAACGATAAGAGGATAGGCGCACCTACACCTCAACCCAAAAAAGAGGACATCCCTGATTTCATTCAGGCTAAATATTATATCGGTGGTGTTCCACCAAGTTTTCGCGCGGAAAAACTAATCCTGCCGTCTCAAGTTTCCTTCTTTGGCTGTATGTCTAATATCATCGTTGAAGAGGGCTATGATCCAATGGCAGAACAGTATCATGGCGTCGAGCCTACCTGTGCAAATAAGGTAAATAACTTAATTATGAAAAATGGATACCTTCTATCTAGATGTTAAAAATAAGTAAATTCCTACTGGTTGAGATCTCCTTAATTATAAAATAGAATATTGTGGGATATTTTGTTCAGCTATTCTATGAAAAAAAATATGCATACATTTTATTTGTAGTAAATTTTCTGTATTGTAAAAAACTAGGAACCACTTAAATAGTCAAGGAATTAAGAAACAATTCCTATAAAAGGAAAATTTATTACTCACTTTTAAAACATTTATCGTTCCCTTTAATGTTGGACAAAGAATTTTAATTTAAGTAAAACAGTTCGTACATAAATAAAAAATAAATTTTTATTTTTGCAGCCATTAAGGATCGTAGGATTTTACGGAGATGGGTATTTACAACATGTATCATACACACTGCGTAAAATAAACTCCACGATGAGTTTCTCTTTTAGAACAATGCAGGAAAACGCTGTACTCCTTCTTTCTACATTCGAAGGACAAGAAGAACGTATGCCTCCTATACGACACATGAACGACGACTCAATTGTAAGTAAAAATAATATCGTTATTCTTCTATACGAGAAACTTTTTGCATCGAAATTAAATGAAATAAACGTAATGCAAGGCATTTAATTTAATTCTTCAATATTATATATTTAATATCATGTCTGATACAATATCATATACAATATTTGCACGATAAAATATGATCATATTGTGTTTTGGGGTGGTAATATAATGAACGAAATTCGTCAAAATTCTCCAAGTAAATATTGAGATCACGATCCATGTTTCTAACTTACAATGTCATTTATTCTTTTAGAAAAAAAGTTACTATTCCATATGCATAATCAATGGGCAAGTGCAAGTGCGTTTAAATGCTGGAAGAGGGGAGCTCACTTTACAATCGAATGACACTTTTAATGACGGGAGATATCACTCAGTAACAGTAATTAAAAGACGAAAAGATATCGAATTGCGAATAGACGACGCTTATCAGAGCGCAGGTAAATTACCCACCAGTGCGGCTATTAAAGCTCCTGAAGAAAGTGGAGGACTATTCTTCGGAGGTTTGCCAGTGCTTATTAACAATACCAACATGATTTCCACCACCACGCCTTTGTATGGAACGATTAAAGACGCGATATTTAATGACGAGTAAGTTAAATACAACAAATTTTACAATATTCCGTATTTTCAAAAATGCAAAGGGTATTAGAAAATAATAACTCAAAAACTTGCATCCATGTGATTGCAATATTTAATAAACTAAATAAGAAATATTCATTAAATTATTTCTTTTTATAGCATTGTTCGTTTTGATGAAGCCATTAGTTTTGAACATGCATTAATTGGTCGTTCCGGACCAAGCATGGGAAAAGACCCTCCTACGTATACACCATCAGCATCACTGTCAAGGGGAATGTCTACCCAACCGGAAGGGTGTCAAAAAGTGCCGTATTATTCTTTGGAAGCTGGTGCCCTCAAATTTGGAGACAAACCAAACAGTCACACGCAACTTTATCTAAATTTTAAAAAATTTTGGGAGAAGAAGTATGCGATAGAATTTGATTTCAGGACATACTATCCAAATGGACTGCTGTTTATTACTCCAGTATGTGGAAATTATTTATAGCTTTTACAAACAGCATATATTTAAGAATCGGGCCCTTGCCTGGCCTTGATTGACCAAGCTTGTCGATTGCCTTGCCATACCTAATATCCATATAAGCCCTTACGCTATAGAATATTACTAATTAATATATCTCTTTTAATTCATAGGGCCTTAGACCAAAACACTATCTCATGGTCGTGATACGAGATGGACAGCTTTTACTCTTGGTGAAAAGCAAGCAGAAGAAAGAAATACTGTTTAAAACACCGTTTAATGACGGTAATTGGCATCATGTAGTGATCAGTCATGACGAGCGGAAGTTGACATTGCTCGTGGATTCTCAAACACCACGCACGATTAAAGTGCCAAGAAAAATTGGACTAGCTTCTATGATGTATATTGGAGGCCTGCCTGAAAGTGGAACACCCATACCTGAACAAGTCGTAGTTAAACTTGAAACCCTCAAAGGTTGTATCAGAGGATTGAGGATCAATGGCAACGTGTATGATATGGTTGGTTCTACGAGTAGGGCCTATCAAGTGGGACAGTGTTTCCCAAATGTTGAAAGTGGAGCTTATTTCCAGGATGAAGCATATGCCATATACAGTAAGATATCAAAGTTATCGGTTTATAAAAATGAATATCACACAAAAATAAAATTAGATCATAGTGATGAGCGAAATGTTTCTCTTTTACAGAGCGGAACTTTGAATTAGGTGCTGTACTCGAACTTCAGTTGGAATTTAGAACATCAGAATTGTCGGGTGTTTTGCTTTCTATAACGGCACCCGGCAATTCGCCTTCATTATCATTAGAGCTGAATAATGGTAAAGTGATTATGTCGGGTGATCTAGGAGATAACAATCCGTTATATGTAGAGCAACGTTTCAATAGTCCATACACGATCTGTGACAATCGGTGGCACAGAATACAAGCAGTTTATAACGACGAAGAATTGGCACTGAAAGTCGATGAGTTGGATCAGAAGTATGGTCTTCCAGCTAACGTCAATTATCATATAATGGATGCTACAGTTTCTCGCCCTCTATACATTGGTGGTTTGCCAGGTTAGACATACTTATCAACCTCCTTCTATTTAATTATATTCCATTAAAAAATATAATAAAAACAATTTACTATTATATTTATAAATGTGAATGAATAACATATAATTTTGCTCCAGCCTCTGCTCCAAAAGGAACATTAATAACAAGGGATCATTTCAACGGATGTATAAGAAATGTAATGATAGGGGGAGAAAGACGAGATTGGACAGACATGGATGAATTGCACAATATTCACTTGAGCTCCTGCCCAGTACAATGATAATCAGTACAATGTGTGAACTCCTCTGAGTCATTTAATTTTGTTCCAAAGACTGTTCAAAGGACGCACAATGCTCGAAAGGTTTCTATGAACTGTGTTCAATACAATTTCACACTGGGATCAAGTGCCATATCATGATGGAAATTCTTTAATCATTAAGACATAAGGTTAAACGAAGCCAAGAGATGCTAGCATGCACACGCATGAAGTTTACATTGATGTTTCTCAAACTTGTTTTTATTATTTTAAAGTTCTACGATAACAAATTTTTATACAATATTAATGAAACTTCCTTATTCTTTTATATGTATCTCTTTCTGATATATTTATATAAAAAGTATGTTCAGAAAAAATGATATATAATGAATATAATGTGAAAAAAATAAGCTAATATTTATAATTTGTACATAACAGATTTTACATTTACCTAATTCAACTAAAATTTTCTTAAATAAATTTTTACCATATATAAAAAAAAATAAACAACTTTCTCAACATATACCAAAAAAATTTAACTTAATTTATATGTATACTATTTGATAAATCAATGTTGAATCACTAATTAATTATTATTTAAGCATTTATTTTGGAAATTATTAACAGAAAAGGAATTATACATTTATTTAACTTACTATTCTACTAAAATAAATCGATTAACATTATTTTAAAAATTTAGAAGTTATCTATTCAATGAATATTGTATTTAAAAAATAGTTTAAAAAATTGTGACATATATACTTACAAAATAATAATACGAGGTAGAAGCAATTCGTTACACTTATATTGCCATTCCACAATAAGTATTTTAATAATAATATTCATATCACTTCCCTTTTGAAGATGCAATTTACAAATGAATATCTTCCCGCACTTTTATACAAATCTATATATTAACGAATACAACGTACATCAAAACTTAAATTGAAAATAAAAAGTTATAAAATATTAACTTGACGAAAAGATCATAGTTCATAACATAAATTGGAATTAACTTAATTATAAACATGAAAGATTTTAGTTTATAATTTAATGTTAGTATATTGGAAGATCAATGTACGACGTAGTAAAAATTCAAACGATTATTCGCTATTGAAACGTTTTCTAGAACTTATTTCACGATATATATTTCACGATAATTTTGCAAAACATAGTTTGAGAAACAATTTTTAAAGCATTAACAAATTATGGCACAAATTCGCGTCGAATTGTATCATAGACCTGATATGCAAAATAAATGTCATAACATACGTGTAAGTAGTAAGATCACTGCCATATAGTTTAATTGTAATTCATCTGTAAGTCACAAAACAATTGTACATCAGTATTTAAAGCTATTTATTATCGTTAATGTAAGAGCAAATAGCGATTTCGATCGAGAGCGCAGCGTGGAACATGAGATGGCACTCGATCGAAATCGTATATTTTTTAAAAAGGAAAGGATAAGAACGAACGAAATGGGATTATTTTGTACTGTTATAGCGGTAGTAAGGTATCGAATTGTAATATTTAAGATGATTAGAAACGGAAGAAAAGTCATGTTTAACACCCTGTAATAAAGTGCCCTTAATGAATTAAATATATATATAGGGAGAAGTGTTCTTCACAAGAATATTTTAATATTTATGTCTAGTATTTTTCTTATTCGTTGAAATGTAATATATTATACATATGCAGAAAAATTAACAATGACGCCTTCGCTATTGTGTATAAAATATATAACAATGAGAAAGTATGGTTATTTAATTCACCCTCTTCTGTACTCCAAAGGTTATATATACATTTACATTACACAACCAATTAAGACAAAGAAGACACATTTAGTTCCATTAGATATATATTCACAGATGAAGACTCAAGAATAAAAGTCTATTGGAAAGTGGGTTATTAAATTTTATTGATGACATTCGCTGCAAGATGCTAACAGTAAAATATGACCCAAATTTTGACTTGACGTACTCAATAAATATACATATATCATTGAGTAGTAGATTCATTTATGCGTATATAAAAACATAATATTTACAGACATGGATAAATCGACAAAGTTTTCAGTTTTCACTTCTTTCATTTATGACAATAAAAATGAAGGATTATTACATAAAAGTAATCGTTTATTAATAGTAAGCGCGATTATTTATATCCCATTTTTTCCTATCTCTGTTTTTCGTTTCATTGTTTATCACGCCGATTGCCAACAGCTCACTAATAATATTTCTCTGCTTCGAAAAATATAAATATCAAGCACAAGCAATCATCCTCCCTTCCTACAGTTACACATCCTTTTTTCGAACTTTCTCTTACTGTTTGTAGCTTTTCTTACTATTTTCAATCCCTTCTCCACAAGCCGGTGTTCCTCCGTTGATTCTTAAGATTAGTGACTATTATATCGTTATTCATAAATCTTCATTCACTGTTCGTTCACATTGTTATCGTAGCTTTTAACGCGACTTATGTCTTCAAATCTTATAATTCATCTTACGGCGTTTACTTATTTTCGCGTTCAATATTGTCAAGTCGGACTGTTTTCGGAGACTGAGGCTCACAAAAATTTCTCTATTCATCATTTTTTACGGCGATACACGCAATAGATTTACAATACAAGAGAATAGAATATAACGAACTCCTTTGGATATCTACGATCGACGGATTCTTTTCTTATTTGACGTAAAATTTGTTTTGCAAGTCCCTTCATTACACAAATCATCTACCTTGAACGTGAGCTTGAATAAAATAATCTCGGGACGATTGAACCAAATATTGCATCATTGCGAATTAAAAATATATTTTTCGCGATTATAATTGTGAAGAACATGAAATTCGATATGTTGCATAATTACTTAAGAATAATCAATACGGTCGTGTTCTGCTATGCCATTGCAGAATATAGGGGGGTCTATTGTTCCAGTGAACCAATCCAAATATTGTTTTTTCTTTTCTTCTTCTTCTTTCTTATGACATTATCGCTTTAAATTCCATGCACAGACCCATAAAGTTAAAAAATACATTCTACAAATATTGGACAAGTAAAAAATTGATAAACGCTATAATATACACGCTAAACATAATTTAAATAAAGAATTCGAGAACAAAATTCTACAACAGATAGACCCTCCATATTTCTGTACAAAAATTGTATTTTACCTCTATCTAGTTTCTATTCATTCGTCCTACCGGCGTATTACGAAAAACGGATTGCATACACGTTAAAAAAATTGAATCGTCAAGGTGGAAGATCAGTGCCAGTCCCACACGAACGGCGGACAGTTATAATTTATGGCACAATAAATAAATAGTTCTTTCGTTATTACGTTATTATGCTAATTATCCTTCATGTACAATACAAGAACCGCATGTTTCGTTTCGCTTGAAATTGGACTGACACGTTCCATTAGGAAATGAGAAACATACTAAAAAGAAAGAAAAATAAAAAAAGGAAAGAAAGAGAACGATTACCATCCGAAAAAATAAGATCCATATACTGTTTACAAAATTCACGAGAGTAATTACCCAACTTATAAACGGGTTAAACATTAGTCTGTTTGATTAAAATTTCCAACAATATACTAAGACAATTTATAAATAAATCATTAACACTCTCTTTCCAGGGACTCTTTTCTCAATTTCAAGGAACGCAGACTATGGACACTGAATTAGAATTATTTAGGCCTAGGACACATTCAAATAAATTAATTAATGTAAAGATAACTTTAAATACAAACAAAATTTTTGTTGTTTTAGTTAAATTATTGTTGTTCTATATTCCAAGCCATCTTCTGCTTTCCTCTTACAATGATCGAAACTATCATAAGATTTTAAACTGTTCGATACATCGTAAAGAATAAGTATGTATTGCGCGCAGGAAAGAAAAATAGCAATTCAATCAAAGATTTCACCAGTTCGTGGCCGTTTTCAATATCCAGACACTTCCTATCAGTTACCAAAATTATTACTGTTCACTCAAGAAACGAACTTTTGGTACTGTTTGGTACGGTCTCATTCTCTCTCCCTTCTCAAATCCTTGCAAGTTTCTAATCTTACACCGATACACACTTCACAAAACTCGCTTCAAGATATTCAAATCAACGAGGCATTATATAAATTATATTCGATGGTACCTATACTGTAAAGGAAAAACATCCTCGCACAACATCAATTACATTCAGATCGATCTTAAGGCTGATTTGGTATTTTCTTTCACTAATCAGAATCAACTTATATATTTACAAATCCACATTATTATTATTTTTTACCTTTTTCGTTTGTCCGTGAGCTGGTATTTTTCAACACTTTTCAGCAAACGAATTACATTATCTACGTACGCTGCTGCAACCGTTAACGGCTGCGAAAATCTCATGGTCAACGAGGAATCATTAATTCACCTTTGACGATGATATACATTAAACAAAAAAATGTTTTAAGACAGTTACAATGAATCGTACGCAACAATGTTGGTTTAAAATCATTTGGAAAAAATATCGAAGAGACTTCTACAAATGAAATTTTCATTCAAAACAATCATTTTATTCTGATCAATATTATTTTAGTTTTGTTAAATAGAAATTAATCAAATACGAAAAATCACATTGAGAAATTCGAATCTTTTTCTAGACTCTGTCAAAAATATATTCAAATTAATGATCCTCTATTTACGTTTAGTAATTTATAAAAGTTAATGGTACTACGATAATAATAATAATTATAATAATAATAATAATTAAGAGCAGTTTTAATTTACGCGTAAGAGAAATATGTGCGAATTACTTTATGTAATATAAAGACGAAATGTTCGTTCGACACTTATGAAAGCCCTGCCTCTCTTTTAGCAAAAAAGAAGAAACAATTTTATAAGAAAAATTAATTAATACCTTTTATCAATCAGTCACAACTTTCATTTACAACACAATAGCTTACATGATTACAAGGCGATTATACGTCAGAAGTTAGTCCGCAAAGATATTAGATACTGACAACAAACCATTCCTATTAATTAGATATTGATAAACTTATGACACAGTGATTGATGCCAACGTTAACTTAAAAACAAAACAAAACAAGAAGTAAAACAAAAGAAAAATATAAAAAGAAAAGATACAACAAATTACAAAAAACGAAACATACGTGGTAACATTGCGCCGTTCAATATGGTGTGCGATCGTAAAAAACGCTAGAAATGATTGCACACCCGTCTCTGTGAGTCAGCATCAATCATTTGTCTTTATAAAATTGACTAAAAACGCAACGTTTGCATTAATTTAATATGGGCCTGTATTAAAATAGTAACTATGAACAACAGAGGGCATAGTAGCATTAAATGTGACACATGTGTAAAACTATATGACGAGAGGCATGTCTTTCTTGTTCGGCAAATTCACCTTTTTACCTTGCCAAAGGCTGTTGTGTATCGTAAAGGCATCTATGGTCACAGTCAGATGCTTTGTGTGTACTTGAGAAAAGCATTTTGCTCCTGAATTGTATCTAAAAACAAAGAATTATATTATAAATTTATTATATACATTATTGTGCTCACAAGAGTTACATAGTATATATATTCAATTCATGTGATTATGCAAATGGTACATACGAGAAAAAGGTTTTCATATTT